ATTTCCAAGATAACATTATTTTATTATTCTACTTTGTTATCTGTAATAATGTGATTCTTTTAAAAAATAAAAACAACATTTGAATTTTAACCGCATTTACAAACGCTATACCCACGCGGCATTTCAATATTATAATACGGATTTTGGTGAATTGTGTGTGTATTATTGTAAGGTACTTGTAATGTTCAGTTCTCGTCCGTCATAATTAGTAAACCTACTTAGATTTTTCCTCCATGACAAATTACATGCAGTGTACATAGCTTTACAGACACATCTGTAGAAGATAACTACAACAACTTGCAAAAGCATCCCTGTTGCGTTATTCCCCCTCCCCGCAAATAAGTCAAACGCGTTCAGTTTGTGAATAGGTTTAATTCCGTATAATTACATCGTTACGTTACATAAAAATACATTTTATTTTAGGATATGTTCATAGAAGCATCAGATTATTTATATACGGCTACATATCATCGAGCATATTTTAAGGAAGTCACCATATTGATACCAGCTAATTGGAAAGATGACCCTTCCTACCAAAAAGCAACAAAAGAGATATATGATAATGCTGATGTTGCCATCTCTTCGCCTAATATTAGTAATCACCCTGCTCAACCTAGTACCAGAAGTTTTAGTGGTTGTGGTTCTCCGGGAATCAGGATACAGTTAACATCAACATTCTTCACGGATAGTCATATTAAAAGAGCATTGGGCTCTAGAGGTAAACTATTATTTGATCTTAAGGTTGAGAATGATAAACTTGTTACTGATAAATTCTCCATAATTAATGCTATATAGCATGTGTATTGTCTAAAAATATTATGCCATAAGCTTCATTGGTTTTGACCAAATGTAAGAGAGAAAAAAATGAAAAGATCGTAATAAAAATGGTTACATCATACAAGATTCAGTAATGATAGTTCACGCGATATTATACTTACGAACTGGGATTTTTCGTCTCTAAATCATCTTGATTTGTAAGTCAAAAATGTACGTTTTCAAAAACCTATCAGTGTACCTAGTTTATGGTTTAACATATTATTCGTGCGCTGTTATTGCTAGATATATTTAAAGGCAACGGTTAACTTTAAGAATGGGGATTGTCTCGCCAACATATTAATTTTGACATAAACATATGGTAACTGGTATGTGTATTGTTGTGTGTGCAATGAGAGTCAGGGACCATTTGCCTGATCATTGGCGTTTCCGCTTACTTATCTTCGATTTTCGAATGCCAAGGATTAATTTACGTGTACGCCTGTGTGTACACAGATGGACCTCGCTTTTGTGTCCCATCCGCACGACCAGGCACACATTCAATGTTGTCACCGGAGGCGATGCCCTGATCACTCTGCTAACAGCTCTATTCCCACTCGACCATCCTAAAAGTATCTGCCAACTCTCTCTCCCACACACTTTACGAAAACCTGTAAATCCCGAATAATATCAACAAACAACGAAAACTTGCATTTATGAAACATCTAATCCACTAGAAACACGCATATTAAACATACATTATGCAGGAGCTAAATCTGTCTATTGCAGGTCTTTCTTTAGGCCTGAAATGTTATCTAAATTATAATTAGACATTAATTAACCTATCCAGACCGTAATCTTTAGTGGATTGTGAGCCGATTTACTGCATAACTTTCCTTCACGACTTAACGATTAAATTGATAATCGAGACTATGCTGTTTAACGTACTCACTTTAGTAATGATGATCAAGTCTAGCCGGAAATGTCAACCTCTTAGTTCTCGGTTCATAGTGGATCAATCTGAATGAAATTTTCAGCAAACTGCCTTTACATTATTTATTTTTTAACTATTACAGTAAGAACTACCAACTCGTTATCGAATCTCTCATAATGTATCTTTAATAATGATTTCAAATCCTTCTACGTAATTTGTTGGGTGTATAGTCCATAATGTTTTGCTTAGACATGCAGGCTAACAGCTCATGAGAGAATGACAGCTATCGATTGTCAACGCCTCGCAACCTTCGATTCGGAGTTAAACCCACTCACTCTACCTTCAGCACACACCCTTGTCTGAAAAGCTTTTTAACAATTGGTGTTATGGGAGGATGACACCTATCGGTTTGCAACGTTGGACACACTTCCAAACTGTGGTTACGGCCACCTCTTTTTTCCCGAAAACTATGTTACTTTGATAAAGGCTGCAAATTTAATGGATTTTTTTTTCAAATTTGGAGCGAGGCATTGAAGACACGAGAGGACGAATCCTATCGCCCCTCCCTTTTCTGAAAATCGTATAACGAATTTTTAACATACAATTTTCAAATTTGGTGGGGAGCATTCAGTTCATGGAAAGCTAAAACCTATTGATATATTGAAGACTTTTTTAACATGTAGATGTTAAGAGTCTACAGTCTTTCATCGATATTGGTTTAATTTAGCGTGAAGCACTAGGGCTGTGAGTAGATTATCCCAGTTGATTTTCAAATTTGGTGTGAAGCTTTGGGATTGGGAAGGATGAACCATGTTGATTTTCAGATGACATTCTGTTCCAGAGTTATATTATGGATCCATAATAATATGGATCCGGACAACATGATAGAGATTAGATTTTTTGAAGGATCCTAGAACCTTATCCTCGATTTCTTCCTTTCGGATAAGCTGCTGTTGGGACAAACTTGTTTTTCTAAGGGTTTTAGATGAACTTGTTTTTCTAAGGGTTTTAGATAAACTTGTTCTTAAAGCCGGTTTCCAAATGTTAAACAAGCCGTACAAACCTTCATTTTCTGTGGTTGGCTATAGACATTATTCTCATTATCAGGCAAACAGGATAGTGCACGGATAAAGCATATTAAACAATCATCAGACCAGTCAGTATAATAATGGAAACCCTCCCACCTAACATCGTCTGAAATCGTTTTTAAATAACTGTGATGTCTTAGGATGGGACACTCCTGGCCAATTAATGTCAATTCTACACAATTATATGTACTATTTTACAGGACGATTATTGGTGCATGAATGGGCTCACTTTCGATGGGGTGTTTTTGATGAATATCCACACGATGGAGAACAATCGTTTTATTTCTCTCCTAGTTCGGGGGAGTATAAACCAGTAATATGTAATGATCACATGTATATCAGAATATATATCCCTAATACTGCACCAATAAAATACTGTTTTAACAAGTCTAATATAACTGGTCGCTATCCAGATGCTTGTATATTTGCTCCGTATACAAGAGGAAGTAACGCACTTGCTGTTTCTGCATCTATCATGCATCAGACGGCTGTTGAGGGCGTAAGTATTATTACAACACTATTATACATTAAGAGTACTTAAAATAATTTATTAAATTGCACACGCCCTCTTCTTACTGGTCACGTACATGTAAAGAATATTATTAAAAAAAAAACAAACATGTTACACCAAAAATCACCGAATTATGGACTAGTTGAGTAAACTCGAAACTCAAGTTACTTCCCTTTGCTTCATTAGACATAATCCTACACTGGAACGTGGAATGTTTATATGCTCTTATATCTTCATCTTTACAAATGTCCGAAACCATATTCTAGTAATGTGAATCCAATCTCTGTGGCCCAGGTTACATCCAATTTATGGCAATGGAAGCGACAGTTGGATATATTAAAACTATATTACAATAAAACCTTTAAATACATAGAATCTATGTCATTTTCAAGTTGAAACACTAATTTTGAGCTTTTCAAATTGCTTAAAGAAAGCAAATGTGGTAACTTTGCCATAATAGCCAGTATTGTTGTTTTTTTAAGTGCTCGAAGGATTCGTATGATTGTGTAATGGTGTTTATAATAAAGCAATAGATATCGACTTTGATTTTCTTAAGACAAAAAAGAGCAATTTTAAAATAACGTTGTACTAATTAACCACTTTTGTTTAATTATTGTGAATTATAATTTAGATTAAATATTTCTGTGATGACAATACAACGAACCCTAATAAAGTACACAATACTGAAGCACCAAATAAACAGAATCGTATGTGCAGACAGCGGAGTACTTGGTCTGTTATACTGGATAGTCCCGACTTTAAAAACAACCATAATCCACCAAAAGATGGACTTACCACTACACCGACTTTTACAATTGTCAGGGCTTCAAAAACCAGAAGAGTTGCTCTGGTTATGGACACTTCGATGAGTATGGTAATACTAAAATTGATATTTAAATACTGTGTACATTCAGATATTTAGTTCATCCGAACATATAACGGTGGCTATACATGGAACTATTTATTAAATAAAACTAAAGTAATACAACCTTTGGGAACTATCCCCCGCCCTTTTTCGGAGGTTATCTGACTGATAACGAGTTTGTTTTCATTTTGATTCCCGACACTTATAATCCGAACATATAACGGTGCCTATACATGGAACTAATTCTTAAATAAAACTAAAATAAACTTAAGTAATACAACCTTTGTGAAATATCCCCCACCCTTTTTCGGGCCTATCTGATTTAATAACGAGTTTGTTTTCATTTTGATTTCCGACACTGTACAGCGCAGTCGACACTTACGGCTGACTCCCATGTAATCGTTGTTCATTACTTGCAATGTTTGTGTAAATTGTCCACGTGTTTGTCTTATGTGTTTTGTTTATATGTGGGTTTACAGTCCTACCCAAAGGTAATATCAAAATTTCAAGTGTGTAAACACCAGGTAGTTTAATAGTACGTGTACTTTTGTCAGAAAAACGGACCAAAAACCATTTGGCGGATGACAAATAGTATCAGATGTTTCAAACGGAATCAGCATACCCGCTACTAGAATAATACCATGTGAATTGTACAAATACAGAACAGTACAAAACCATTAAAACAAGTTTTATACTTTTATATAAATTAATTATTAGTTATTGCATGAATTGGTCAGTGGTTATTCGTTTATAGGATGATGGTGCTGTTGATCAACTAAGACAAGCTGCAGCTGATTTTATTCATAATGGTTTAGGTAACAACAGTCAAATAGGTCTAGTGGCTTTCAGCGATAAGGCAACAATCAGCCATCCAATGACATCAATCAAAACAAATGAAGATAGGGAAAGGTTGAAAAGAAGCTTACCAACAGCATCAGGACAAGATGTCACCAGCATAGGATCTGGTATACATAAAGCCATCCAGGTACGTGTTGTTTTCTTCCGTAACTCATCTGAGTAAAAAAACATAATAAAGCCAACAAACAGATACTTCATTTTTAGATTATTTAACATGGACGGTGAATCATCCTTTGTTCTTTTCGTTGAATAAGCAGATTGTTAGGAATGGATAGAACTTAACAGTGTAACTTATATTGTACATACTTACATGTATTAACCTTTATTTTCACAGATGTTATCTAGTGATGGCGGCGACGCCAGTGGGGCGGAAATATTGGTATTGACAAACGGCAGAGAAATGTTATCCCCAACTGTATATGATATCTTACCCAGGTTGCGGATGTCAGGAGCAACCATGACAGTTTTAGCTTTACACCAGCTATCTGACGATATTTTAACCCAAGCCGCTCATTCATCAGGTAACTTTGTAACCAATAGCAACCATATATCAATCTACGAACATTCAATATATCAATCTACGGACCTTTAAATATTGCAGAAAATCAATTATGTTCAATAATTGGCTGCATCTATATTTAAATATTTAAAAAAAATGATTATCTCCAATAACTGGCTGATTCTACGGGCGTTTAAATATTTTCATCATTGCGTGAAACTACAGATGTATACACAGCTAATACTGTTAATTTGAAATTTTGATTTTTCATCCAATTCAGATGTTCATATTTGTATAACATGTTGAAATAATATGTTTTACTTTCTTTTAAAATCAACATACAGGTGGCCATTTTTATTTCGATACTAAGCACGAGGAGTCGACGACACTGGTTGATGCGTTGTTCACGATGAGACAAGACCCAGCCCAGAATTTCAACAACCCCTCTATACAGGTACATACGTCGTGGTCAACTTCGTACCCTACGGGCAGAGCAGATATACGTATTAACTCATCTCTCTGCAAACATGCCCCAGGGGTGAACTCGCACCAATAGCTTTATTTACCACTTCCCAAAGCAAAAAAGGGTTGAAAACATGAGCCATGGCCATAATAAAAGTCAACTTTATGGCGAATTCAGCACCGTCTCTCTGTTCCGAACTTTGCTTCATCATAGTAAATAAAGATCTGTACAAGAAAAATAAATCTGTTTAGACTTTCGAGCTTCGTTGTAATAATAGTAAGTTTAGCGAGACTGTGACCATTTAATTCCATAGAAGCCATGGCAAAGATTATGGCAATTTGTGAGCGCCGGGACATCCGATGGGTCCTAGAAACCACGTGTGAAATATTACAGGTTTAATTCTACCATTTCAACTATTTTAAAGTAGCTAAGTCTCTAACTCAATATCATCCAAAAGTCTTCGATATTGAAAACACGAATTATTTGTCAATTTAAATCAACATTGACGTCGTTATCTTACCGGGAATAGATGGGCTTCTGATATCCAATATTTAAGACAAAAAAAAAACATTTTACCATTGGTACATGAATCGTGCACCATATTGCGTTTCAGCGGAATTTCTAACAAAGGACTCGAACATCGAGGCTAGACATATTCCATAAGTCATGTCAAACGATGACGTCATATTCTTATCTGGAGAGCATGCAAATAAATACTATCGGTGTAGACGGGAATAACCAGACGCTAGAGGTTGCCATTTGATTGAGACTTCTGGCGTATTTCTCCGAACATAACTAATTTAAAATTAGTGTAAAAACGGAAACGATTGAATGTAAATCAGTTTATATACATTCATATTACATTATTATATGCGTTGCAACACATTTGTGTCAATTTCTAGGTCACAAATATTAGCGCTTTAGCTCCTGTTATATGACTAATATTAAACAGATGATCAGGGCGGCTTAAATACTTTTTTGGTATGGGGCACATATCAGTACACCGCGAGGCAAAGCTATTCTCTACTTTGGCGACACCAAACCACTGACACCACAAACTCATTGCAAAAAGAGCATTTGCCATTCTATATTAACCGATTTGTATTAAGGTGGATTAGTATATATAATGGTCATCGGTAAGTTCACATATGTTTTATCTCATGCCCTTGTATCTTTCAGATCATGAGTCGAGCTGTGATGATTTTATCTGGTAAAAACGTAATAGGACATGTATCACTTGATGACGATGTTGGACGAAAAACTGTATTCACCATCATGTATTCTAAAACTGAACCCAGTATATCACTAAGATCTCCTTCTGGTCGGATTTATCGTAAAATATACCCTGAATATAAAGCTGACGACGAATATAACACAATAAGAATAGAGATACCGGAAATAGCAGAGGTAAATATAAGGACCGAAATCGGCTCCTCATGAATGTTTTCAGTTGAAAAATTGGGAAAGTAATGCGCATGTAGTGCATGGCAGAGCAGTTAGCATGGATGAATCAATCATAAACTTTACAAGAACATCAATTACCACAGAGTACGTTGATCAAGATGTCAAAGTGGTATAAGGAACAGAGCAACTCTGACTATTGATCGAGTAAAAAAGCAAAATCAAAATTGGAAAGTACTCTAAATAAACGTTGCCCTCTTGGCTTCCACTACATCCTTCAAAATCATACAATTTCCGGGTAGGGATAACTGAACAATGGTAAAATAGGAAGATGATTTATTTTTCAAAATCTGATAGTTATTTTAGACTATTGATGCAAACCGGTCGATTCTTCACAAAGATTTTCACATTACTCAGATGTGGTTTACAATTACAACAACATCAAAATCTTACTTAAATAGTACTTATATGATTTACCTTTCTGGCTTGCTGTGACCTTAAGCAACGGTATACCGGTGAATTAAATAAGATGGGGTTTACTTTTCGGTACCAACCAAGCGTATGAAGGCAACCATACACCATGTAGTGTACTGTGAGGGAAATTTTGACCGTTGATTCAATCTACTCCTCATAGAATTGCAGCTGTCAATAGTTCTGTTTTAAGTTCACGCCAACGTGTACACGGAACCTTGGTTTTTAGTTCCACCAACCGACGAGACCCTGTTCCTTACCAGGAGGAAACCACACTGGAAAATCCCACGGAACTTACCCGGCCAGCACTGGGTTAGAACTCCGGACCTTCTGATTAGTGACCCAGTGTCCTACTCACCGAGCCACTGAATTCCTATTTACTACATAGTCGTGCGTAGATGCCTTTATTGATTTCGAACAATTTAGCTAGGTATCAGGGGCTGTCTTTGATTTGTACAGGTATGACTAAAAGACGGTTAAACTGTGCGTGTTTTAGGTATGTCGTAATAACACTAATAAAATTAATGATTGTTGTTTATTGCTTGCAATATAGAGTGGTGTTTGGACATACAACATTACAAACACGTATACTAACGTTCAGAAAGTTACTGTAATGATGTGCAGTGAACCTTTAGATGACACCCGTGAACCAGTTAAAGTCGATGGTGTCTTGTCATCTACGTCTGTTCATCGACCCGATCAGTTGTTGATTCACGCTGAAGTTACAAAAGGATTACTACCAGTAACAGGGATGGAAGTTACTGCCATCGTAGATCGACCTTTCGCAGATCCCGTAGCAATACAACTTCTGGATAACGGCGCAGGTAAAATATTACATCCATTCTTGATCGTCAAGTATCCCTGAGTATTTTATGTATACAATATTATTGGCTCTGCTCAATGCTAAATGGCCATCTGGCCGTATACTTGACTAACTCGCACGCGAATGTACACGGAGAATGCTGGCGACGTATGCCCAATCATAGCCATCATAAGTATTCACATTTGTATGGCCAACTAATTATGATATTTCAGGGTTCGGTTTGCACGGAGAAATTTTTAATTTATATTTGTGGTTAAACATGTAACCCGCCTTTATTGTCTTTGTTTAATTTTACACCTAAACCAAACCTCGGTTTTCGTGATAGAGCAAACCTAAAGTAGAATGCAGCCCAATGTAATTATTGTGTACATAATATGAAATCAAAAACCCGATACTGCTTTACACTTGCCATTTTGTACTTTTGAATTTCGAATATGACCGGTGTTCAAACGTGTAACTAGATTCGTTGCAAATAGTTCAACAGTATATCTCTAAAGCGCTGAACATGACATATTTATATTGTAGGTGCTGATGTGACGAAAAACGACGGCGTGTATTCGAGATATTTTACCCTATTCACTGGATATGGTAGATATAGTGTAAAAATAGAGATAACTAATCCTGCTGATCAAGCCCTTATAAGAAAGTCTCCTGCTGCCCATTATGCCAACATGATAAAAGACGATGGGGATGTAAAGGGTTAGTTTATTTGCTTTGCTTTTTTTTCAAAATATATGAAATAGTAAAATTAAAACTGTCAACATATTACCAAAGGTAGCATGAATTTTTAAAATGTGCTTTACTCATAGAATACACCTAAAAGAATTGTGTGGAAAAATAATTAATATCAACTCGTTTTCATGAATTTCAATATGTTCGTTGACATTAATTTCGATATGTTTGTTTATGGAACTAGTTGATTGAAGATTTAAACAACGAAATTTAATATAAACACTGACCAAAATCTAATAAACACTAACCCGAGTAAAACGGGTCACGATCTAATGAACCCTAGCCGAGGACGTTTAGTAAATATGCAACAACTGACAGATATCTCTGGGTTTCAATTACATATGGAATTCCATCTATATTACTTTACAGTCGACGAGCCGTTGGTGATGCATGTCAGTCGTTCTGCTACAGCTGGATCCTTTCACTTTAAAAACATTGGGTCTGCTGCTCCAGCTGCTCCTTTATCCACAGAAGACCTGATTAGTGATATTATACCACCAGTTAGAATAACGGATCTACTAGTCATGAAGACCTCACATCAAGACAAGGTGGTTGTTTTATCATGGACGGCACCTGGTGATGACTTAGATTATGATCAAGGTAAAATGGCGGATGTTTGAACCGTTTATGTTACGATAGCAGTGTCTAAATGACTTTCATGGCATAGTTTTCTTTAATCGAGACTACCTATTTATCAAGAAAAGGCAGCTCGGTGTTCATGGGTATTAGGCTTTATATTGCTTTGTACCACAAAGGGCAATTTTAAGCACTGCCTTCATTAGTTTGGTTAAAAAATTTTCCCGTGATGTATTATACTATGTACACTACACAGTTTTCATTACAGACATACTTCAGACTGTATGGACTTTTGTGATGCTGCCACTGAGTTGGTCACTATTTTCAGACTGGCTAAGGCTAAGTTACTTGTAATAGTATTTACTTTGTTTTATTTAGCTACCAATTATGATATCATGATGGCACACACCTTTGATGATATGATTAATCATAAGAAGTCCTGGAAATCTCTGTCTCAGAACGACATCCAGCATGGAAATCTGAAATCACCCAAAATGGCAGGAATGACAGAAACTTTTGTTATTAAGATCCCTTTTGTTCCGTATACGAAGGTTTCGTTTGTGTTTTCTGTAAGAGCAATTGACAGACAGGGAAACATGGCGGATAAATCGAACTTCGTTACGACAGCGTTTGGTTACCTACCAGATTACACCAGCAAAGATTACCAACCAGTTGTAGAGACCGTTATACCAGATGACGAAGCGTTGGGATACAAACCCATTTGGATTGGAGTATTTGGGTCTTTATTCCTTGTACTGTTTATACTATTAACAGTCACCTTCCTTATATGTAAAAACAAGCGAGCAAGGGATTCTTCTATTGCAAAACAAAATGAAGGATTCGAGAAAGCATAATGTTTGGCTCAATAAAGTACATGTGTATTATTCAATTATTGTATGTGTTTTAAAAACCCTTAAAATTCACCTTAATGTAGGACTGTTATCAGCTGCGTCTGGCATCCCAAACTTGCGAACAATCTATTGGATCATATATGGACAAATCTGTGGGTTATTTTACCTTTGTACTGCTTAATACAACCACAGATTTCGATACATTTGCAGGGCAGTCTATTTTATATTGTGTAGGCCCATTTATTTTTAAGTGTATACATTATCAAAGAATGTGCGACAGGTTAAGATTTTTAAAAGTTGTAGAGTTATCGATAGTAATATTTCACTAGCCAATTAGAGGCTATCGAAACTAGGCCATATGTTATACGGCTACTGGGATTAATATAAGGTCAAATCTAACATGTTGTTTAATTTCTTGTCAACAATTTTAAACCGATTCCAATTTCGTTTTCAATAATTGTGCAAATAATCCATTATATATGACCCTGTGTAATCAGACACGATATCCGTATACAACTATGGTTTGCCCTCTAACTCGAGTATCCAGTCGTTATCTAAGATTTCCATTATATCGATAACTCTCAAAGGACCAGAACAGAGGCTATATTCACGTCCCGTAAAATTCTTTAACGAAATTACGAAATATCGAAAAAATATTTATTGTGTATTATTTAATGTTGCTTTTTATTCATTTTGATGTCAGACTCTAAAAGAACACAAATTCTATTAGTGGCGGAAATGGAATGAAATGAAATAAAATGGGGTTTAATGTCCTACTGTTCTGCTCCGAACTGGGCTAATGAAGATGGGCATACGCCATACAGTGTGCTATGAGGGGAATTTTGCCCGGACAGCGGCACTACACCTAATCTTATATCGAATTCCAACTGTCAAGGGATCTTTTACGTGCAGGCCGATGTGTACACGGGACTTCGGTTTTTTGTACCATCCGAGCGACTAGACAGCTGTCCTTGCCGGGACCACTGTCCTTCATCACTGACAAGGGGAAACCACGCCGGGAAATCTGGATGAACTTTCTCGGCCAATGCAGGGATCGAACCCCCGACCACAAGGCTAGCGAGCCAGTGTCTTACCCACTTTGGCTCGATAGCCTGGAGGTCGGGTGTTCGATCCAGATTTTCCGGCGTGGTTCCCCCTTGTCAGTGATGCAGGACGGAGGGCCTGACAAGGACAGCTGTCTAGTTCTTCGGATGAGACGAAAAACCGAGGCCCCGTGTGTACATTGGAATGCACGTAAAAGATCCCTTGGCAGTTGGAATTCGATATAAGAGTAGGCGATAGTGCCGCTGCCCGGGCAAAATTTCCCTCATAGCACACTGTATGGCGTATGCCCGTCTTCATTAGCCCAGGTTAGGAGCAGAACAGTAGGACGTTAAACCCCATTTCATTTCATTTCATTTGTCTTACCCACTTAGCCACCGTGACCCCTAGTGGCGGAAATGTCATTTATCACATAAATTGATTATGGCTGGAAATGTAATGGCTGATACAGGCTACCCCCCCCCCCCGATTCATCTGTAGTACGAATACCCATGTGTGAAATGAATTGCTATCGATTTTCAATGAATCACGGCCTCTTATGGTTTATATTTATAAATATTTGCCAACAGGTGTTGATCACAACACAAGTCAAGATTATACTATAATAATATTTTCACGATTAAGAAATAATTTTACTGTTCGATTTCTAAGGTAAGTTATTGACTTTTTAGCAACTTTGACATGCAACTGATCTTATTAACCTGACAAAATACAAATACAGTAAAACAATTTGACATAAAACAGGCCTGTAAAGAGGGTGTCAGGTAGTCTAGCAAGTATTGTATTGTCGTCACCAATGGCAACCCCTCGTTACACTTCATTTACAGTCGAATTCGTGACCGATATTCAGAAAATATTCAAGAATAGTAGCGTGGTCACTGTTGATGCTGGTCGTTTGCAAAAGCAGGTCCGATGTGATATGTAATATATATTGTTGATCAAAGTTTACTAACGTAGTCATTCTCAAAACAAAACCTGGCGCGTATTCACGGTTAAATTATTCAGTAGATTGCAACGATAGTACTCCGTCAAATGGCAACACCTAGTAGCTCACATTTTTCATATTTAAAACAACAAAGGAAAACGTAATGAATGAATATTAAACCCCAGCTTATCCGTTGATTTGACTATTGAGTTACAAGGTTTTTCTGTGGCATATTAGGCAAATGAAGGAAGTATCTAGATGGTGTCACGGGTGTAACTGCTTACAAAATCAAAAGATTGGAATATCGAGTACAACAACAGGAAGCACATACCCTATTAACTACAAATTTGGTCCTAACTCAATTTTGATAAAACAAAAAGTGAGTTACTAGGTTTTGACTTTTGACGGGAGATGATAATCACTGTTTGTACCGTTTGTTCAATACTAGTCCCTGTCTGTGTTAACTTTTGCTTGGACTTTTTTTTAGGTGCGATATAGTGTGGTCGTTGCCTTACAACCCATGTTCATGTTTCAGTTGCTGAAATGCCTGTTTATAGCTTATTTGGAATAATTGCTGCTCTACTATCTGGGGCTGGATGCATCGTACATGTTATTGGTTTATCTGTTGTCTACTGGATTGTGTCTGACCCATATGTCTCTGGATGGGGAATCGGGTTGTGGCAGAGTTGTAACTTTTATGAATGTAATCACCACACCACCTCCTTTGTCTGTGCACTAGGTAATATATATATTTGTTGTTACTAGGTTGTTAATTGAAACTTGTAATATGATTGGGTAGGTAGGTCGGTGAAAATTGTCGTACCCGGTCAAACACTTTTATGAATATAATCATCATCACACCTGCCTTAGCTGTGCATTAGATAATATGTATTCTTTGTTACTACGTTGGTAACAGAAACGTGTAATGCTGATGATAATGCTTAGGTACAAATCATCGGTGATGTGGAAAAAAACAAATTTTCTCCCGATCCCTCCTCATATTCCCGATATTTTTGAACATGGCTTGCGACCCTTCCGAAGCACCTGTTCCCAACGGTTTCCGTGTCTCATCAATGTCCATTGGCAGTAAATCGCTTAGGCAAAAAATGCCCAGTGGGACCTAGCCCTTAACTTATAATAGGAATGAGAAGGTAGATTGGTGATAATTGTCGTATCAGATCGAGCACTTTCTCTTAAAGAGGACATGCATGTTCAATTTTCATCTTTCGAAATCAAGCAACCAAATAATAATAGACAATGGTGAAGAACTCCGCGACAAACCAGAAAACGGCAATTAAAACAGCGAAAATATCCTTGGATGTACTGTTATATTTTGATGCAGCTTTTTTAATCTACAGAATATTGGAAAGCAGCGCAAGCTATGGTTATGATTGGTTTCTTTGTTGGATTAGCTGGCTTCATCTTTACTATAATCAGTGTGCAACAAAGGAATAGAATATTGCATCTTGTTTCAGCCATTTCATGCATACTTGCAGGTAATTCCTTCTATAACATTTGATGCCACTTTATATTGACCGCGGAAATCCTGTTATACGAGTATGTGTAATACACTGACACGGGGGAGAGGGCGTGTCTCGTGGTGCCATAATTTGAAACATTTTATATCGAGTTAATGAACACCGTTACTGTTAAATTTCCCAAGCATCTGTTTATTTGTTCATGACATATTTTGAATTTCCTCTTTGTAGTTAGGGCGATTCAGCCGCAGGCCAAAAGACTATTGTAGTTATACATATTTGGTCGTATGTCTAATTTCTATAATGTGGATGTATATTATTTTTATTACCTGCGACTGATATCCGTCGGACCGTCGTCAATCCAAAAGTTCGGAGCCCCTTTAGGGTTTATGTTCAAAATTATAGGGATGATTCGTGGGATCTTAGGGTCAATCCTCTCTACATTGAATATTTTTCAAATGAAAAGATGTTCGGATGAGATCATTAACAGCTGTGCGTGGTTGTTAATTAGAGTAAGGATAAACATGTTTCGAATTTCAATACTTCGAATCTTTATTTAGACAACGTTTTACGGGTTTGTCATTCCGGTCAGATTGTGAAGACGATGCGAGTGAAAGTTTTATATGGACAATAATTTTGATACCATTTTACATAAAAAGAATATTTATTTGAATTTCAGCCGTGAGTATCCTGTTGGCTGTGATTGTATTTGGAGCTAAAACTAAGCTGAAAGCAAATACCCAGTGGGGCTGGGGCTTTATCTTATGTGCCATTAGTCCCTTTATCTTTTTCCCTGCTGGTGTTCTTAATTTCTGGTTATACAGAGGGACAGGTTCCGTGTAAAGATTTTAGGAAAATATGGCTCCATTAGAAGTTTTTTTCTCCATTTTTTATAACTTTTTATTGTCCCCCGCCTTTCGAAGAAAGCAGGGGACTATTAAAATGGGTTCGTCCGTCTGTCCGTCTGTCCGTCCGTCCGTCCGTCCGTCTGTCTGTCCGTCCGTCTGTCTGTCCGTCACACTTTTTGGGACACAATAACTCTCTTCCTAATTGAGCTAGAATGTTCAAACTTGGTGTATGTGTTTATTAGGTCAATGCCTTGATGGAGTTCGAAGATGAGCATTTTCCGCTTAGGGTAAGCAGAGATAAGCAATTTGATTGGTTGATGCTTTGGGACACGATAACTCTCTTCCTAATTGGGCTAGAATGTTCAAACTTGGTGTATGTGTTGATTAGGTCAATGCCTTGATGGAGTTCGAAGATGAGCATTTTCCGCTTAGGGTAAGCAGAGATAAGCAATTTGATTGGTTGATGCTTTGGGACACGATAACTTTTAATTGAGCTAGAATGTTCAAACTTGGTGTATGTGTTTATTAGGTCAATGCCTTGATGGAGTTCGAAGATGAGCATTTTCCGCTTAGGGTAAGCAGAGATAAGCAATTTGATTGGTTGATACTTTGGGGCACGATAACTCTCTTCCTAATTGAGCTAGAATGTTCAAACTTGGTGTATGTGTTGATTAGGTCAATGCCTTGATGGAGTTCGAAGATGAGCATTTTCCGCTTAGGGTAAGCAGAGATAAGCAATTTGATTGGTTGATGCTTTGGGACACGATAACTTTAGTTCTAATTAAGTGAGATTGATGAAACTTGGTGTATAGATTTATTATATGAATACCTTAACTAAGTTCGATAATGAACATTTTTTGCTGAGGGTAAGCAGAGTGATAAGCAATTTGATTGGTAGAAACTTTGGAACACAATAACTCTCCTTCTAATTGAGGTAGAATGTTCAAACTTGGCATAGGTGTCTATTAGGTGAATGTTTAAACTTGATGTATATGTAGATGTTCATTAGGTGAATGTCTTGACTGAGTTCAATAATTAACATTTCGAGCTGAAGCTAAGCAGAGCTAATCGATTTCATTTGTCGATGGTTTGGGACAAGATAATCTTGATTCTATCTGATAGAGAGTGATGAAACTTAGTGAAAAAAATAAATGTGCGATTAATTAATATGTGTCATCTATTTATTTTGCAATTTCGGCGGGGGACATCAGCCTCACTGTTGGCTTGTTATTGTCAGTGGAGAGGCACAAGAATTAAAGAAAATACGGCTTCATTAGAAAATGAGTTCTTATCTCCAATTTTTTATAACTTTTTATTATTGTCAGTGAAGAGGCACAAGAATTAAAGAAAATACGGCTTCATTAGAAAATGAGTTCTTATCTCCAATTTTTTTTATAACTTTTTATTATTGTCAGCTCTGCTGAGAGGGGACTTTCAGTGCACGTTTTTATATTGTTAGTCTTACTATTATTAATTAATGTGCTCTTAGCTTTCAAAAATGTTCACGTTTAAATAAAATGATCGAATTTGAACTTGATTAGTATAAATGGTTAAAAGTTGCACATTAATTACTTTAGATGCATACTCATTTGGGGTAACACATTCCTTGGAAATACGTTTCGCTAGAATCTGAGCATACATCGATAACGTGGGCTGTAAAATTAAAAGCGCCTTTTCAACAGATATACTAATTATTCAAACGACGATCAGCTATTTAATGTTATCCACTACCTAATCGTATAATTGTCTTTGGAGTTGTCAAATATCAGACGTTCATGGATTTTTTCAAAATTACCAACTAATGGCTACATTAGATTTAGAACTTCTACGTCCATTACATTTGAAAGTCGTGAAATCACAAGCTCCATTTTATTTACAAGTTGAGAAAAATAACTAAAGTAAAACAATATCAAAAAGTTCAATTCGCCATATCATATAGTTCTAATGTATAAGAGGGTGTGTCCCTTGTAATTTTCAAAGATCTCAACAACAGCTGTTATTAAATATATGATATGTCTACATTCACATATATCTAACTGCTTTCTAAACTTAAGTATTGATTTTGTAATTATGTATGTATGTCCTAAATAAAGTGATTAAATAGTTTATTCCGGGTTTAAATTTTACCGAGGTTTTAAAATAAGATTATAAGTGAATAATTTTTTTTTTTTTTTTCTTAAATTCATAACTTTGGCCGAGGGGTCCTAAATGTATTCAAGCTACTAACAAAATAAAGCCGTTGCCAAAAATAATACTAATGAGAAATATTTCAACCATTTAATGAATTTAATAACGCATGTGATGAGTGATATAAAAGCGAACTAGGTAATTCTGGGACTAACGTATTTTACAATTATATTAAAATACTTCGCTTGTGCGTAAGGGGCATTTAGAAGTGGGAGGAATATGAATGACCCTGAAAAACCTCACGACGTTAGGCAAACGATCATTTTCCTGGTTACGTACTACAAGTGTGACAGGCCTTATGATCCAAAGCGCCCTCGTTAGATTCCCTTGACCAGGCCTAGCAAAAATGCCAAATGCTGAACCACCCACAATATTTTTATCAGATGATTGTATGTTGGAGTCTTTGTGGTTATAATATTTAGATGATCGGGACTTTTAAAATAAAAATGTTCTAGTCCAATAAATGTTATGGATTTAGCATTGGAACCAATATAGAGAGCATTACTAGTCAGAAACCTTATGTTTCACAGCAGAGTTGCGTCCCTTCAATGAACAATTCTTCAATTGATTAACTTCAATCAAGATCATTCCCGCCCATATTGTCTCGGTTTCGACAACAATGGATGTTGCGAATACGATAAAGAGGTGGTCGCGTATACTATTTACCTAAAGACGTCTGTCTCAATCCACCAGTAAAATTACATTCTTGGTAAAGTGAACCAGTCTCCATATTATTATGACCTTGGATACTACATACAGACTATTTTCATTATTGTCAAAGAGCAGACAAAGTAGGCTAGACTGATAAACGGACAAATTGGCTACAAGGCGATGGTCCGGTCCTTACGCCTATCTTTTATCTGTGGTTGCAGCAGTGCAAAGGTATTTGTTTTACAAATAAATGGAAAAAAATTTATTCATTTCTTAAATAAAATATACAATTTACATACATTTTGTTTTGTTTATACAATTAAAAAATATAGTCTACAGTAAAATATTATATAGATATAGACACTAAAGCACTTTTACGAACAAAAGGGCGGCGGTAAGACATGGTCATTGTCATTTTCATTTTCATGCAGGGGAATGGGCTGGGCTGTAACTTCATTGATTTAGACAGATCAACTAATAAAAACTTATTTCTACTCCTCTGATTGTCTCAACACTAATAATCCAGGTTTCTTAACCGATTTTTAAATCTTAAATCCATTAAGGGTGTATTTGACTGACACGAATTCATACATACCTTATTATTTCATATAATGGGGTCAAACTGGAAGCCAATCTCTCATGTTTTACTATTTATACAAAATATGGAGTTGGAGAAGATCTACGTCAAGTATATAAAGAGTTAATTATTGAAAGTAAATGAAGCAATTCATATGGAAACTGATCAATTTAAAACGCCCAACATGACGATGTCCAACTATTTAAAATACTCTCTGAATTTTTAACACAGTAAATCGTCAATCCTGATCGCCATTTCGTCCACTCATCATGACATTAACCACCATTTGAGTTTGTTTTATAGATGTGAATTCGGGTAGTGACGACACCATGTGATGACGCACATGTTCATGACCTTTCACCTGGATCTTACTCTCGGCGAATCGACAATGTTTACGATGCATCCATACACGTCCTCCTGGTCTAGGTTTAATGTGACCATCATCCTATGAAAAGAAACAAATATATATTATTAAAGGTTGCCAAAGCAGTTACACTTTTCAGAACTTTTTATTTAAAATAAATGAATGTTTATTAAAATATGCACAAACTCCGCACCATGTTTAATAACAACGAATCCGATACTAGATTATTTCGATATTTTTGTTTGCTTTCTACAGATTTCCAAATTTGAACCCAGATGTTTCCAATTGGGTAATTAAGAATGGAGGGATATATTTTGTGAATATTGTAATCGAATTTGCAAAGAGACTCTTGATTTTGATAATTAGCAATCAAACTGCCCCAATATTACCACTACTGAGATGATATGTGGGAAAACGGTACGAATATATATCCTCGGTAATGCCCTGGCGTCGATGGAGGGGTATGGGACTATCTGATTCTAAATTAAAAATATTGGTTTCCAGGCAACGAAACATACGCCCACAGCAGCTAAATCGGCCAATGGTCGATAAGGGTTGTGACATATTTACATTTACTCGTTTGTAGGTAATGGGAGCATTTACAGTTTCATACAGATCGAATGATAACGTTAGAGTGTTCACAAGGTTCAACAACGTGAAAGATGGGTGATAACCCTAACAGTTTTATATATGGAATTGCTGAAACTCAATACGCTTCTACCTTTTAATAATCGAATAACTTCAGAGGGTCCACAAGGGTCTACATAGTGAAACAAGGGGCATAACTCTAGAAATAATTATATACGGAAAATGCTGTAAATCAATAGGATTCTACGTTTCACTAATCAAATGATAACTTTAGAGGGTACACAAGGTTCTATACAGTGAAACAATTGCCATAATTCTAGAAATAATTAACGGAAATGGCTGAAATCACATAGGCTTCTTCGAATCCCTAATATAAAGAACATAGGACGCTAATCATAGGGTTTGAGTTGTCGGGTGTTTTCAAATAAAAGCTGCCATTTTCTTTTAGGCAATTAATCAATTATGAAATAATTACATAAAAACTTTGACATTTGGTAAAAGAAAAAAACAATAAAACCACCTACCTGTAGATCCAATTTAAAGCGTTTTAATTTTGGCAGCTTCAGAGACATTTTTGGCTTATCGCCATATCTAATATGAAAAGATCTGATACGTGATTCCAGGTAACTCAGTGTCGTGTCGCTCGTCTCAAAGTCATCAAAACTTTCATCCTGGTCCAAATTGTTGAGGGACGTATACTTGGCTTGTATTTGTTCCTTAACAAACTGTCTAGGAGTCTCCCATTTTGACGTAGGACGAGATTGTGTCTCAGATTTATCTACTCCTGGTGGTTGAAGAAGATTTGTCGATGGCGGAGCTTCTGTTTCGATTGGTTTTTGCATTGTTGTGACAAAAGGTGCTGGCTCGGATTTTGATTCTATATTTTGATTGATTGTCTCGGTTATGTTTTGATTTTGATTTTGAACTTTGGCAACTTCAGTTATGGGCAGTAATCGGGTATCCTTCACATGCGTTGTAGATGTATCCATGATATCCATCTGTTGTGCTGTAGGCGGCATCAAAGAACTCCTCGAGGTATTGACCGCATTGGCCTCTGTAAGATTGTCCGTGGATCGGTATGTCTCCAAAATTAAATCTGGATTTTTAGAATGGCCAGGTTGTTCGTACATAATTAGTTCCGCTTCCGCCATTTCTCTAAGAGACTCGCATATTTCTCGTCTGCTTCTTGGTTTTCGCCTATTTATGGCTCGCCTTGTTTCGCGAACTTTCTCTGCTAGACTTAAGGTCGTTCGACGTCTGACATTTTCACGAATTCGCGCCTTTTCTTCCATTAAATCTTTATAATACAATGCACCGGGGACGTGGGGAAGCACTAAGGGGGCGCGACCCTCTCGAAATCTCTCCAATAAATATTGAAACTGTACATCAGTGGCCGGGAGAGACTTGCTGGCTTTTAAAGGTGGAAGTTTTTTGGCTGATGGCAAAGAGGTTTCAGTGAGTTTGTAATGTAAATATCTTAATAAGGGAATCTGATCCCCGGCTACTAAAGTAAGTCTTGTTTCTAATTTATCAACAACGTGAGCTTTCATTTTGGCTACAGTGCCAAGATTCTTTCTGCCGACCAGTCGATCATAAGTTTTCAAATCCAGCATGAACACCTCTGTATCGGCTGTGCACACCACGGTTTGCATATAAGTCTTTAAATTCATTGACAACTCAGTGTCCCCGATAATTTCGCCATCGCTAAGAGTACACAGACAGATCGACTTTTCCTGCCGCTTTTTTTCAACCGCTCCACACCCCTCCTTTCTCCTAATAGTCACATGGTCTGGTTTAGTAGGAATAACCGCTGGATTTTCATATCTACGCAAAATGGCGTTCTTACGGGATTCTCTGTAAACAAAATTATCAGAAAGTGTAATGCATATAACAGATACGAATCATGAGTAAATACAAACTAATTAACGTATTATCATAACGGCTTTAGTATTCATTTCCTGATGGGGAGAGGGTAACCGGATTATAAAGTACGTCATTGAATCAAGTGGCGCTGTTTTGATCCCACATAAGTGACAAGTTATTGGGTCACCTGTCCAACCGCGTGGGTTTTCTCAAGGTCCTCCACTTTCCTCGAATTTAAAAAAGAAATTGTACCATATATTAGTTCCGAAATGACTCGGTTTGTTTTGAGTGGACCTTAAACCCGATTACTATCTCGCTCGGTGATATTTCGTTTCATTTCGGCACAATGTTCATTTCGTCCGTTTCGGTCGATATTAGTGCTACCCTAAATTTGTTACCACAATTGTTACCACAATATTTCACTGATAATAATCTTCGGTAACACAATATCTATAAGATACTCACCGCAACCATTCAAATTCTATAGAGTACGTGTCAACACCGGCTTCAAACGGCCACAATTGATGATACTGTTGCCTATGGCGACCAGGTTCTACAGTTACGTTTGCCTGTCCTCTACAAATAAAATGAATGAAAGCTTAAATTTCATTTGAATTATACATGAACTTACATCCATGTGATTACTCATAAATCTACCTGTCTACTTATCTAACAAATTAATACAAAATGGCGCCAGATATAATTTAAAGGCATAATCAGCCAATTCAATTTCAAATTTACTGAAATTATAAATCCGAATAAACATCTCCATAAATTGTTTGGTTTTCAAACGGGGGTAGTTGGATTTCTACAATGGAGATCGTCGATTTTGTCACTTCAAGGGGTGGGGGGGAATGATTTCGTCTAAGAATTATGACAGTTATAGGGCATTTCCAAAACTGTGGACAGTTGAATTTCGGCGCTGAGTATGTATTTCAATACCGCATACCCGGGATTGAAAAAAAGTCTTTCTCGGAGGGGAAACTTTTGGAGCTATGTGGCCTAGGATAGCTTTCACACTGAAAACATTTGTGAGATGTCTGGGAACTAATAAACGGGGTTAGAGCGTCTCAACAATGGAGATGGTCGATTTTATCACTTTAAAGGGAGTGGGGGATAATTTCGTCTACAAATTATAAAGGTAACGAGGTCGTTTTGTGGAACATAGTGATGGTGGGCTGTACGTTGGGAGGGGTGGGGGTGGTTGTAAATGTAAGAATGAAAAGAGTGAACGATTGAACAAACATTGAAAACGACGGTACCACACAAATCAGGGCATCAAAGTGTTATTTCATTTGATTACATGTAATGTGGATGACCTTCGATTAATTACTTACTTGACTATAAAGAAAACACCTTTGACTCTATCGCCCTGTTTGACTATTGTGGATTCAAATGGGAAAACTTCTCGCCTTAAACTAAGTTCTAGTAGCCGCTTGAAACGAGGAGACCAGTTGGTAAAATAAGGGTGTGATCGTATAAAAGTCTTCGTCATTTCATATTTACTTTCCTCGTAAGCCTGAAATAATAAGATGAATACACTCGGATGAACAACAGATCTCAAGAAGAGTAAATAAAGAAACCACAAATGACAGGAAAGGAAAGTGAAGGGGGGTTCAGAATGCCAAATCAGGACTCTCACAACAGTTCGGCCGACTTCATACCGGGTTTGTTGAAACGATCGAAATAATCGTTATTGTATGGAGAGTCGTGGTACCTCAGTCAGTAAGGCGCTGCCTCGCAAACTAGGAAGTGTTGGTGCGCTGCCGGCTTTCCCCGACATTTCCGTAATGATTTCCCTCTAGTCAATGGTGAAGGACGGAGGGAATGGCAAGGAACAGAGCTTAGTCGTTTGGGTGGGACGAAAAAACTGGATCCCATGCACTTGTTGGCGTGCACGTAAACGAAAGCTTGACTGTTGGAATACGAAATAAGAAGGTCCAGTCAAAATTTTCCTCGTAGCACACATCATGGCGTATGTCTGCCTTAATCAGTCCAGTTGGTGCAGGGATGTATGACGTTAATCCCCATTTTATTTCATTTCATTATGACATGCTGACCTTCAATGATCTGTTGAATAGTTTTCTACCCACAACAAGAAAATCACAATCTGTATCAACAATAACTGACGCGTTTCTCGTGGAATCTTCGGATATAAGAGCAACTTCTCCAAAACTTTTACCAGATTCTAAATGAATAAATATTTAATTATTTCAAATAATATTATACATATGCCAAGCTGTCTGAGATATTTCTTTTGCGAACTGAAATACAATATAAGCTCTTAAACTACAAAAACGCCTTAGGTTCTATTTACACAGTGTATAAATGAATACAAACGGTTTAATAAATATGTAAATTAAATGACAAAATTTAAAGTTTCGGTTCAAGATGCCGCCATTTTTGAATTATTGTCAGTATTGCTAAAAGGGGTATAAAACTTAAATACGGACTTCAGTTAGCCTGACAAATACTATGGATTTTTGTGTGCTCTGACAAGTAGACTGACAAATGCGACACTCGATCTCTCGACTCGCTGAAACAATTTTATTTTAATAAATTGCATGCGCATAGGGTCTTTAGCAATGGGAGGAAACCGGAGGACCTGGAGAAAACATGAGGTTAGGTGGGCGACTCTACTCATTTCACGTAGACGTGTGGGATCAAAACCAGGTCACCTATCCCTTCTCTAAACCACACCAGCTTACTCATTGACAGATCTTATGATGCAGCGCGCACGCGCTAACCATTCGGCCATCCAACCCCCACTCAAATACAGACCTTATGTCATAAAGTGCACACGTCAGACCACCGGCTACAGCGCATCCACCCCAACCTCTCCAATGTCAACAAGCAATGTAATTCAATATGGAAGCGGGCTTTGGATACATTTCAGTATCATTATATTAGAATATTTAAGATACTTGCCCATTTTTATAATAAATTTCCCGAACACTCTTCTATCAAGATCCCTTCCTAGTCTGACTTCCGGGGAAGAGCCATCTTTACTCGGGGAACGTGGTACGGGCGATGGATACCCTTCATCTTCACCAGTCATGGTGGCATCAATATAAACAGAGACGCCACCTCTTAATATGACATACATACTGTGAAAAAAGAAATAAGATTGTGGCATAGAATGAAAATGTTATCTAGCAGCTGTTATTATGGTGCAGCTGAAAGTCTTATATTTCAGAAATTGGCACAATGGAGTTTTCAAAATTCTGAAGACTGATTGATTTCGTGAACTTCTAATGTTTATTGAAACGATACAGTTACGGTAAGAAATGTATATAGCTCAAATACTGGTAGCACAATTTGTTATCCAAAGAATATGATGGGATTAAACTTAAAGGACAATATTGGTGCCAGTCATTATCACATATGTGATAGAACTGGTTAAACACGTTCCAAATAGTATTTTATCACAGAGATCATTGCTACGATAGATAAGTAATCGATGTTTCAACAATAGGAAGTGACGAACGCAAAAGGAAAACACGAGTTATCCCTTTATATAACTGAATGAAGTGACGGGTGATAACAGATACATGGGCGAATTTCTGCTCACTAATAATTCCTTCCGGACTATATTGCGCCGTTTGCGCCGAGATAATTAGAAGCGTTCTGAGCTAAGGCTCTTCTACCCCCTTCGTTTTAGCCCCCTATTCATACTATATAATGACTGTGTCTCTGTTCTTACTTCTCGGCATCGTCGCAGGATGCAAAGCAATTCTCGACTTTGTATTCAGTGCCATACGCACACAATGAAATTATCGATGTATTTTTAATTGAAGAATTCGCTTCAATATTAGGATCTTTAGCAGAGGGAGGAAAACGGATGGTCCGGGGAAATCCCACGAGGTTGGACAGGCGACCCTAATCCGTGTCACGTACAAGCAGGGAATCGACTCCACGCCCCTTGACCCAATGACAGACCATTCGGCCACCTAATCACCACTTTAAACGTAAAAGACAAATGGCAGAGAAAAGCATTGGATACCGCCATAGAGCTCTGGCAAATTTACGCCATATTTGACTCACCATTCTCCTCGTTCACCTTGACATAGAATAACATCATCATGACTAGCCATCTGATATTCACAGTTCCTGGTAATGTCTTTGAGAACGGCTGAAATACAAATGTACTTACGATAAGAAGTGAATTTATTTTTGGATGTACCTACCAATAATTTGAAATCAGTGCAACAGTTGTGTGGAATACACACACCACCAGAAACTATCCGACAATGTGATTCTGTGTCCGTTTTTAAACCAGAAGTAAAAAACTTTATTTAGTCAATATCATTAACAATCCAAAATGAGTACATTTTCTAGCGCCTTGAGCATGATTCCCTGATAGACTGAATAGATGCGAAATACAAATTAAGATCATTATGATTATTATTTCATAAGCATGAATTCTGAATTACATGAAATAGAAATGCAATGATGTTTAACGTCCTACTTTTCTGCACCGGCCGGGATAACAGAAAACGATACGGGAAACGGAAAATTGATTACATCGGAGGAAAGTTGTAATTGGGGTGGAATATATGGTTGGATTCTGGTATTATGTCTCGTTGACACTTAACGTGAATTATTGTCTATGTTTATGTTTACGTGTGGAATACAGCTGGATACCGGTATTCTCTTAGTCCAATTCCTATTGTATGCTTAGTGTATAATGCCTTCATTAGCTCGGTTAGAGCAGACAAGTAGGATGTGAAACCCCATTTCATTTTCTAAAACACCAATGAATGGGTTTATATAACTTGTGCAAAGAACATAACTTCAAACAACATGTGCCAATAAGCTTTTTCTTGACAAAAGGAGACTTTGATCAAGACATGCATTTTAAATGATTCCGAATGAATTTCTGCAATAAAGTGTTAAATAAAGAACATTTATGAATAGTGGTCATTGTTGTCACGATCAGACTCAGAATAATCAAAACTTGAATATATGCTTAATCTCTTTACATATCTGGGCAACACTGGGATGAAGAATGTTAATATTATTTGTTTGTTGTATTCTCGAATACCCAAATTAATGTATTTTTTACCTTTAATGAAATAACTTTTCCATGACCCTAATGTTAGAACTTAGGCGTATGTCTTAACCCCTATTCAATGCAACATGCACCTAGAGTACTGGGATGGCCATGCGAAGCATATAATATGTTATTGATTGACTTGTGATATTAAAATTTTATGAATGGATATAAGTTTATAATAAGTAACTAAAGTAATAGCATACCTAATATATAAATAGAGTGTGATCTATTGTAAATATATTATATTATATCAATATACAATGAGTTTGTTTAATATAAGTAAACATATATAATAACAAAGAGGTGCGATAAAGCTTTGTGTGGATATTTACGATGGATATATGAAAATGACATCAAATGGTCGACAAGGTATATATATATATATCTTTAAAGGGACGTCAGACCCAAAGAATAACACAGATTCAAAATGGCATTAAATTCAGCAACTTCTTTGAGCGGCATTTAGTAATTGACATACGTAATGAACACAAAAACATAATATGGAATACAATTACTATTTTAATTAAAGCGACGTTTCGTTGAGGGTTCTCGTTTTCAAGCAAATGATGATGAAAATAATATACAGAAGGTTTATATACAAAATGAAATGAAATGAAATGGGGTTTAACGTCCTACTATTCTGCTCCTAAACTGGGCTAATGAAGACGGGCATACGTCATACAGTGTGCTATGAGGGAAATTTTGCCCGGGCAGCGGCGCTACGGCCTATTCTTATATCGAATTCCAACTACCAAGGGATCTTTTACGTGCACGCCAATATGTACACGGGACCTCGGTTTTTCGTCCCATCCGGACGAATAGACAGCTGTCCTTGTCAGGCCCTCCGTCCTGCATCACTGACAAGGGGAAACCGCGCCGGAAAATCTGGATGAACTTTCTCTGCCAATGCAGGGTTTATATACAAAAAACAAGTAATAGCTAATTAAACATTAATCAATAATAAAAAAATATAAACCTTGTGTATATCATTTTCAGTATCATTTGCTTGAAAACGTTGAGAGAACCCTCAACGAAACGTCGCTTTGATTAAAATAGTAATTGTGTTCCATATTATGTTTTTGTGTTCATTAAATTCAACATCGTTAAATGAAGATGGCATCAAATTATCGCCAAGAAAGATATTATTTATCTTTAAAGCGAAGTTAGACCATAAGAAAATTATAAATTCAACGTTGTTTTTTAAATCTCCGTAGATTAAACTAGGGACTGTTTGGTTTAGATCAGTGCAATATTGGACAAAATATTCAATAAAATGAAAAATAATAACACGTATAGCCTTAATTTATAAACCCACGAAACTACTACAACTTCATATATAATGATTAAATACAGGGTTAATCCAAGACACAGCTTGAATAACCTCTTGACCTCACTATAGATTATAGATCGATATCATCGCATTAACTTGGATTAAGTGGATTAATAGACCATAGCAGTGATACGTATCTGTTACCTTTTGTGTGAGGTATTAGGTTACACCTTAAAATGTTATGCGTTGAGTTTATATATCCATCTCCTCTACAATACGGTGTGGCAGTAATTGAAATGAAATGAGGTTTAACGTCCTACGTTTCTGTGCCGACCGGGTTAAAAGAGACGCAATGCAGTGTGCTATCCGGGGACAATTTGTCCAGAAAATCAAGGAAACTTTTACACGTACACGCAAGCAAGGTTCAAAGTTCGAACCTTGATTAGCGAGCCGATGTCATACTTACGTAGACACCGTCACCCGATTAGATTTTATTACATACTTCGAGAAGGTATTTGTTGAGTAATAAAACCTTCTAGTAGTTTATCGAGGGCTGGCCGTCCTTACCGCACGGTACAAATAAAACCTTCTAGTAGTTTATCGAGGTTCGGGTGCTTCCGGAGTCCAAAATGGCCACTTTATATAAATGAGAATTTTGGGGATAACTAACCCGAATCCTAACCCTAACCCTTTTTAAAAGACTGAACTTGGGTCTAATTTAGTTTTTACTTCTCTTAAAAGGGTTAGGGTTAGGGTTCGGGTTAGTATTCCCCTAAATACTCATTTGTATAAAGCGGCCATTTTGGTATGAGTTCTGGCTTGTTCTGGAATTTGTTGCTTCTAGTGGTGATAATATTTGTACCGTGCGGTAAGGACGGCCCTCGATAAACTACTAGAAGGTTTTATTACTCAACAAATACCTTCTCGAAATATGTAATACTTTCTAATCGGGTGACACCGTGGCTCCCAAAAAATATCAATAGAAAGTTATTTAGATATGGTGTTAATACGATTTACCTGGCTTTTGTTATAAATGATCACGATTTACAACTTGTACACAAAAAACTCTAAAGCTACATCAATTAACATTAAACATACATTATGCAAGAGCTAAATCTGCCAATTGCAGCTCTTGTGTTAGGCCTGAAATGTTTTCTAAATTATTAATTAGACATTAATTAACTTATCCAGAAAATAATCTAATCAACTCTCGATGTCATCGCTAGCCTGCGATATTTACTGGATTAGACCCCAGTCTGCTGCTTCTGATTAAATCAAAATTGGATAATCGAGACTATGTATTTTATCGTACCGACTTTAGTAATGATGATCGAGGCCCAACATTCAATCGCTAAATACTCGGTTCAAGGTGGATCAATTTGACTGAAATTTTCAGCAAATCCCCTTTACATTATCTAATTTTTAACTATTATAGTGAAAACTACCATTAATATAATCGCTCGATTCCTACCAATATCTTAAAACGATTTAAAGCAATTTTGGAAATGCTGTCGTTACTTTAAATAAACCGTTCGATTACCAACACAATTACACAATTAAATTTACAGCGTACCGCCTACAATATCGGCCATTTTTACTAAGACATCTCGAACTATGTAATAAATATTGTTACCTGTAGAATTCACTACAGATTAATCTTACAAGCAAAAACACACGATATGCTTTATTTATCGCTCTGTTCAACAATATTTTATTTATTAAAAACCTATACAAGAGGTTAATCAAGCGAGCTCCTAATCCAGTTAATATCAGCACTTGGACCTGTTGACCGGGATTATCTCATTTAATCTTTGAACTTGAATAATTATGAAACCCGACATATCTATTACTCGTGTGTAACAAATCTTTATTTTCTATTATATTTTTTTTTCATTTTAAAAATACAAATACGTTTATCAAGCGTGTACATTTTGATTTCAGCTCACTTATTACGTACAACTTAACGAGTCAAGTTTTATTAAACAAGTATTATGCAACAGGTAAATCTGCCTATTGCATGACTTTCGTTAAGCCTGAAATGTTATATAAACAATTAATTGGATATTTTATCAACATAAAAGGGCCATAATAAACTCTCGATGCCATCTTATCTGTCCGATTTTTATTTGATTTGAATCCGATCTGCTGTTCAACGTCCGTTGATGATTAAACCCAAAAATGGAAAATCGGGACACAGTTAATTATCGTGCTAGCGCTAACAATGACAATCGAGGCTACAAAGATTTTAAAATAAGGCTTCCCGGCTTAGGGTGAAGCAATTTGACTGAAATTTCCAGCATCGTCTAGTTTTTAACTTTTATATTGAGAACTGCCAGCTCATTATCTAATCTTCCATAGTGTATCTTTAAAGATACATTAGTTAAGAGTTTAATAAAGAGTTGGTCATTCTTGCTATAATAATTCAAAAATAGATGATAAAAAAAAGAAAATATTGAAAATTTCATTCAAATTACTTCATTCTCAGCCAAGTTTTATCATTGTTGTATTTTTGACAAGATGTGTGCACAGTAGTAACCAGGGCACTGGTATAATCGGGACTTATCCTCGCTTTCCCATTTTTAAATTAAATTTTTAAATGGCGAACCGTTTTAATCTAGTTAAAATCTCGACTATCCGATGCCATCGAGAGTCGTTTATGGTCTTGTTTTGTTAATAAATGTCTAATTAATAGTATATATAACATTTCAGGCCTAAAGAAAGACCTGCAATAGGCAGATTTAGCTTTTGCATAATGTATGTTTAACTATTGATTAAAATTTATGTATGATTATCAAGGTAGCCGCCCTTATGTCGAGTTAAAGGATCGACAGAGAATTATTATGTAGTCAATATTTGACCCAGACGACCGATCCATTGACTATCCAATCTGAGGACAATCAATACGTTGTAAAATGAAAATGGAATGAAATGGGGTTTAACGTCCTTCTTTTCTGCTCCAACTGGGCTAATGAAGACGGATATACGTCATACCTATCAGCATAATTGTGCACGGGCAGCGGCGCTGTGACCTACTCTTATACCACATTTCAACTGTTAAAGTGCTACTTTACATGCTCGCCAATTTATACACGGGATCTAGCTTTTCCGTTTTATCCGAACGACTGGAAATTGTCCTTGTGTGGCCCCCCGTCCTGCACACCTCTACACAAGTCTTTTAATGCTTATTTATTGAAATATGCATCGAGGTTACAAAATGCATTTTTCATGTTTTTCGCCCTGGTGGTCCACATTAATGGGTGTTGAGTTTCCTGTCTTGTGTTAGGTAACAATAATTCATTATACACGGGACACCGTATTGCATACCATTACATAATTTACAGACGGCCATTATTATGACTATATCTCAATAATGTAAGTCTGATCACGCGCTAAAACTGTTGTATCCAGGGTAGTTGTTCACACTTATGACATTAAGTAAACAATGGTGTATATCGAATTTGGTTTCGTATTTCATTGGTGACAATAATATATTAAAATTTAATGGATGGGGGGTAACTGTTTACACGGAGTTGTATGATAGTGTGAACCTCATTGAAAATAGACGTCCGTTTTTAATACAGTATGATTTAGTCATTTTGTATTTCTAATACAATATTTTATTCAGGTAGCGATGTTTCTGCCTACTCTACTTCAAATATCAACTTCCAATTGAACTTTTATCTCTACTAACAATTTCAACACAGTAGTCCGTTTTTGTCCCATCCATGCAACTAAACATCCTTTCTTTTCAGCCCCTAGTACGCATTCTTCGGCAAGTGATAACCGAGTTTAACTAGGGAGGTATGAGACAATCTAGTGTCTGACGTCATTAAACGTCTGCGCAACTATAATTTAATTAGATTTCATTTGCTTGTTACAAGTGCACAAGTAAAGATAAGCAATTTAAAATAGTTTTAATGTTATCCTGCGATTTAATGCGCCAGCCTATCCAAAAGTTTGTGCTGAAGTAGTGCATTTTATGAACTGGGTTTGTTACTCACTTGGGGGGTTGGATGGCCGAATGGTTAGCATGTGCGTGCTGTATCATAAGGCCTGTCATTGAGTCATCTGGCGTGGTTTCGAATCCCCGGTTGTATGTGACAAGGAGTAGGGTCGCCTGTCCAATCTCGTGGGTTTTCTCCGGATCCTCCGGTTTCCTCCCACTGCTAAAGACCCCTACGCGCAAGCGAATTATTGAAATAAAATTAAAACCTTGTGTTAGTCCCGAAATGACCTAGTTTGTGTCGAGTGGACGTTAAACCCCATTTCTCTCTCTCTCTTTTTGTTACCAACTTAAACAGAGGTGAATACTAATTTTAAAAAAAAAAGATTTTTGTCCTAGGGCCCGTGATTCGAGAGTTCGTCTCAAGTTGGCCGTCTGTACCCCACATGAGAGCTTACGTATAGTAGAGTAGTACTTACCATCTTGCTGATTTTGAAACAAAGGCGTGCGCCTGCGTAGCCATGGTATAATGGCCTCTATTTCCGTATCCGTTCTTCGTTCAGGTGGTTTTGAAATGACGTCAATAACTTGATTGATGAAATGTGCCATTTTTGTTTAGTTTCTATGCTGAAAAAGCAGAAAGGGATTAGGTTAGATTCAAAATTGGCCACACACAATTTCACAGTTTAGAAAAAGATTGTCAAGATTTCTTAAACAAAATAATATGCTATCCGGTATTTTATTATATCTCTCCATAGACGCCATTCTTCCATTTTTAAATTGTAATGGAGTGATAGCTTGCACCTGAATTATTAACTAATAACGTGTAAGTAGATCATTAATGTTTAATAACCTAATCAATGGATATAAAACACTGGTTATTGTTATCCATTGCAGCCATTAAAATTCTTGCAATGAAACGTTTCTTATTACCATAAGGCCAATACGATTTATATCATTGATGCATTGCTACTTACTTGAAATTATTTTTTTAAAAATGGCATCCCTTGTAAACTATCATATTGTGAGAGTTGAATCAATAATAGGACTATCAGTCCAAAATGGTTCCGATCAGTATTTACGAAATTATGATGAATTGAAAATTCCGTGGATCTATGCTGCACCCTATGTAACAAGACGGCCGCCATCTATATTTGTCCGTGAAGTAAATTGATGGGATTGTTTTAAATGCGATTGAGTCCAAGCCGGGAAATTATCTAGCTTTTGTTATCTTGATTAAATGTTAAATAATCAATCCGAGTACATGTGTCAGAAATTTAATATTTTCTTAACAATGCAAATCACGCATTGTTACTTAAAATTATGCAGGTTTGAATTTTATATAACGGAAGAAAGATGGAGAAATAAGGATTAACGTTCATTGATTTCGTGACTAACACTATTATTTCAACATTGCGCTTGCGAGTAGGGGTCTTTAGCAATAGCAGTAAAAGAAACCATAGAACCGGGAGAGAGACCACGGGGTTGGGTAATGGGTAGGAGATCCTACTCATTGTCACGTAACAGGCTTCGGAACGAAACCACGTCAGTTGATTCAATGCCAAAGGCCCCGTGTTCACAAAGCATTCTCAGACTTAAGTTAAGAATTTACTGAACTTTCAATCGCTGTTTCTGAGAAATATCTGTGATCCAGAAACACAAAACTTTGCACATAGTTTCTTATTGATGTATTTGATATATTAAAACAAAAGTTTTATAAAGGGCTATATTTTAGTTAAAATAAAACAAACAAATTTGAGTTAATTCTTAACTTAAGCCTGAGAACTCAGGGCAGGTCTTTTGATGTAGAGAGCACGGTTATACTAATCGGCCAGCCCCCCCCCCCCCTCTTGCAATAAAGCTTTTCTTGATATTACGGTAATGCTAATACTTTTTATATTAAAGATACATTATCGGAGATTCGATAACGAGTTGGCAGTTCTCACTATTATAGTTTAAAACTAGATGATGTAAAGGCAATTTGCTGAAAATGTCATTCAAATTGATCCACTATGAACCGAGAACAAAGCGATTGAATTTCCGCCTAGCATTTATCATCATTACTAAAGTCAGTACGATAAACAGCATGGTCTCGATTATCCAGTTAATCGTTAAATCGTGAAGGAAACTTATGCAGTAAATCGTCTCACAATCCACTAAAGATCGCAGGCTAGCGATGCCATCTATAGTTGATAGTTTAATTAATGTCTAATTAATAATTTAGATAACATTTCAGGCCTAAACAAAGACCTGCAATAGACAGATTTAGCTATTGCATAATGTATGTTTAATAAAGTATATGTTTATGCATGTTTAATAAATATTCATAGAATGGCTACTTGAAACTAATTATCATATGGTTTTAAAAAGTTATCCGGAAAATTTAATCTATATGCAGGTATTAGTTTCTAAAAAATGTTTCCCTGTAGAATCGCTGGAAATCGAAAATACAGTATTGAATATATTCTAGTGGATATAACCCAAAAACAGATTTAAAGCAAATACCAATATTTGTTACTTTCAGTCAAGCGATTAACGGGGATATTAGAACTGGTTTTTGTTCTTTCAAGTTTTGACTATTACGTGTTTTCAAAAATATATTTCCTGCATAATTGACTTTCGTATAATAAGTTTATAAAATGGACAGTAAAATCATAGCATTTAATTAAAATGCCATTTCAAATTTGTAAGCTAATTAAAGAGGTTTGTCACAGAAGACTACTTCTGCGTGATGTTCAACAAATAAACAAGAATAACACTTAACGCGGACACTATTCGAGAAACCAACAATACATTATTTGAACAGTGTGTTCTTCATGTCTTGATGTTAATCGACATGCGATATCAAATAAATAGAGAAAGCTATCAATACTATAGAAAATAGACTTTATAATTAATTATTTTTATCGAGCAATGTTTATTACATGCTGATTGATTGCTTTCGATACTTTATGAATGGCAATATGATTTGACAGAATGTATTGCCTAGTCGGAACTTCAGTTTAATTGCATTTCCATGCTGAGAGAACAAATACAAATTCGCCTTGATAAAAATAAATGGAATAGACTGGGGTTTACAGTTCCACCAATACCATACTTGGGTCGTTTTGGGATTAAAACATCGCTATTTCCATATTTACTGCGAGGAGAATTTTGTCTGAATAACAGTTAGGGGAGGGAACATTGCAAAGTCCAAATGGCTTGAAAAAAGGCAAAATTAGATAACAATTTCAAACATATCACGAAAGGGAATAATTATCAAAAATTCCCCATTTTCAATATTTGAATTTGAAATGTTGTACTTTCCGTCATGACAGCCACTACGATTTGGAACTGTGTGTAAAGTACAAGCTATGGATGGCTGCATTTCTTAGTGTGAAATTGCTTATGACATATGAGTTAGCTCAGTATCAGATATTGGCTCGCTAACGAGAGGATGCCTTGTTAGTGGCGCAGGGGGGTAGGACCTGGCAAAGAACAGCGTCTAGTCAGGGCCGGATTAAGACCAGGGCCCGATAGAAGCCCTAAACACTTAGCAGATCTTGGTGTCCAAATATAGGCTTATATGTCATTCCAAATATAAACAATAATGAACCATAATAAACCATAAAATTAATTTGTATTTTGTCACGTAACAATGCAGGTGGTGCCCCCCTCCCTTCCCCTTCCCGCCCCATGATCCCTAAGCACGTACTTATTTTGCTTAATGGTTATCCAGTCCTGCGTCTCGTTGATCGGACGGTGGCGAAAATCCTAACTCCAATGTAGACGTTGGTTTGCACGTAAAATTGGACATTCCGGAAAACATTTCCCTGTCAGTCTTCATTCACAAGGTTAGAGTAGAAAAGTATTAAACCACATTTCATTTCGCGGATTAAATTTAACTAGACCAAGTGACTCGTGTCATATATTAAATTAAGTTTCAAACATGCATGCAGTGAAGAAGAGTTATGGTAATTTGACACTCCAAAGTTTAAAATGAAAACACAAAACTCACCTATTCACTAGCCTCATGCCGCATTGTCTGATGAACATTTAACTAAAACTATCTCAATTGTATAACTACGGTTTATATGATGATTACACTAGTTTAAATAAATATTATTCATGATATATTAACTAACATATTCGTATCACGACCCCCTTCAAAAGCATTTATTTACTTTTGGCGTAATGCGAGGTGCGTGTTTACACCGAGGTCCGCGTTATAGATTATGGTACTTGAGCATAATGGTAAATAAAAGTGCTATAGTTCTACCATTGATAGTCGGACAGTTATACTAGGCAACGAGAGAATAGAACATTAAGTAGCGGTTATTATTTGACGCCAGTGTTTTTAATATCCAATTTCCTCGTCTGTCATTAATCCTAGCTTATACCATAATAATGATAATCATATCATTTTCGACTTGGTGGTTATGCAAAGCCTGTATGTTAAAGGAAAGTGTCTGTGATTAAAGGTCATTTTGTAATGTACCGATAGCCGTTAGGCTGTAGATACAGGGGGCGGGGGGGGGGGGGGTGACAGTACTTTTATATCTTGGATATGTAATTATTGTTCAAAAGATACTCGGGAATACAGACCACTCTTAAAGTGAAAATAAAATGAAATGAAATGGGGTTTAACGTCCTACTGTTATGCTCCTAACCTGGGCTAATGAAGACGGGCATACGCCATACAGTGTACTATGAGGGAAATTTTGCCCGGGCAGCGGCGCTTCGGCCTACACTTGTATCGAATTCCAGGTCAATTATTGCGAGTAGGTCAATTCGGAACTAATGTATGGTACGATCTTTTTCCACGAGATTGAATAGATGACCCTACTCCTTGTCACGTACATGCCTGGGGTGGTTGACGTATATATAACACATTTGTTGTGTTTTTGTTCTAAAACTTTGTTTAATTCCAGAAAAATGCACGTCAAAGCTAAATTTATGTTTTACAATACCGGTGACAATGTGTAATTAACTACGTTGTTAAATGCCAGAAAGTGATTTATGTTTCATAACCAATTGATCGCATTAGAAATCAGTGCCAAACGATTAGGCGACATCGAAATATCAAAGAACATATAAGCCTACTTGACCTTATGAAAAAACTGGTGATCAAGATAGTTTGGCATATGGTTATATTAAAGATATAATTTCTTAGTCGATTTTCCTTTTCCTTTTTTAAAATCTATATTACTTTGTACAGTTGATCATCATTTGAAATTCACACATACTTCTTATTTGACATGGCTTAATCCTAGCTCAAAAGTGTCTAAAAAAATTGATTATTGAACATATCAAAATAGTTTCCCGACTTGAATTCAATCAGATTAAAATGGTATTACCCAACACATATAGATGAAGCTGACTTGTTAATATCATCTGCAGAGATTGTTGAATGTTGTCAAATTTTATTTTCAATTCATAATATCTTTAAAAATACTGAACTGAACTGAACTGAACAATTTTTGAACTAGTATTCTTTTAAAAGATTGCGCTGAAAGTAAAATCAACAGAACTTCACCGCACATGAGATCGATCATAGTCAAGTACTATTAGGGGCGATACACGTCGAAACTATCAAAATACCGAGCCCAATAATTGTGGTGAACACAACTATACATTTAG